AGAGCATGAACGGGGGAGGGGCAGAGAGAGAGGGAGACACAGAATCGGAAACAGGCTCCAGGCTCCGAGCCATCAGCCCAGAGCCTGACGCGGGGCTCGAACTCACGGACCGCGAGATCGTGACCTGGCTGAAGTCGGACGCTTAACCGACTGCGCCACCCAGGCGCCCCTGATGTCTTTGTCTTTTAAGCATAGTTCAAACAGCTAAAATTGCTGACAAATTGAAGCTGGCTAACTGAGGTGTTTTGTTTTTCTGGAATAACACCTTGTTTCTCTATTGCACAAATCCTAGAATTTGTTCAGAAACAGACATAATGAACACCTTATTTATCTTTACAACTTCTCTGAGATATATTCTTGTTAGTTGGCATTGTTATGGCAGCTTTACAACTTTCAAAATGAAGTTAGGAACATCAAACACCAAAATGAGAATCCACAAGAATCGTGAATGTACACGCTCACCCCAACATTTCCTTGACCCATTGTCCCAAACTGTAGGACCACTTGGTCCCCAGAAGCCCCAGATCTGCTCAGATACCATTAGGCAAATATTTGCTCTCCTTTTCTGTTCTTTTCCACGTTTTTCCATTGCTTCCACGTTGCTTGCTGACGTGGGAGGCCCCACTCCAGGTGCCGAAGACAGCTTTCTTCCCTTCCGTTCCTTCAAGCGTGTAGCTACTATAGAATCAGAGCGGGTGCAGACTTGGTGTCTGCGATGACTTTATCTCTTCACCTTCTCAGCAAATGGCTATTCATTCTATTCTTCCAGTTTCTCAGGCCAGAAGCCCTTAAAGCATTCCTGACTCCTCTCTTCCTCATATGTCACATCCAGTCCATCAAAAAATCCTGTCAACCCTACCCCTCAAAAGACATCCAGAATCTGATTCCTTCTCACCCACCCCTGCTCACCACCTGGTCCCAGGCCATCCTCACCCTTCTACATTGTGGCAGTGCCCTCCCAGGTAGCTCCCTGCTCCCAGCTGTGCCCCCTGGTAGCCAGTTAAGTCAGACTGTGTCACTTTTGTGCTCAAAACCTGCCCATGGCCCCAGCTAACACAGAACAACACCCAAAGGCCCTTTGAAGGCCTGTCCCTGCCTCACCCTCGTCTCCCCCACCCACTCCGTCACCCTCCCCTCTCCTGTCACAGTGGCCTCCTTTAGGTAACAGTTGTATATGTGTCCTTCCGGAGTTCAGGTTTTTGTTTTTCTTTTTTTAATCTCAAGCTTTCGACCTGAAAATGAACGCTGTAATACTGGAAAGAGGTGCCCCGTGGTCCTCAGAAGCCTTGGCGCCTGCTTGACTTTCCTCACGTGCCCAGCAAGGGGGCCTGAGCAGCCCCACCCCGGGGAACTGGACGGTGCCCCCCCACACCCCAAGCAAGCAGGTGTGCTCCACCCGCCAGCGCCCGCCCCTCCCCTGCAGGCCACAGCAAACACTGGTGGCGACAGTCAGGGCACACTTTCTTTTTCTGTTTGCTGTAGGTGGCAGACTGCCCAGGGCCAGCCCAGCACTGGCATTTCAGGGAGAAATTCCTGACTGAAGAGACACCTAGAGAACACGAGAGACGTGGAAATCCCTACAGGTTGCAACAGTTGTCCTTCAAAGCAGGCTGGAAACAGGGGAGGTTAACAGGAAGGCTTGAGGGCTAGTTCAGGCCCAAGCAAAGCCAAATCAAAGAGCTGGGCATCTGGAGGCAGGACTCCTTCATAGGCCAGCCCCTCCTAAGGGTCAACTTCTGGGTGCCCACATAGCCAAGGCCAAGTTCTTTCTCCTGCTTCACCACTGCTCGGCGTCCAGGGTCAGGAAGGAGTCAGCCAGCCGGCAGACAGGTTCTCCTCCAGTTTTCTCTCAGCGGCATCACACGGCACCTGCACACAGTAGATGTCCTGTGCGTGCCCGGCTGGGCAAGCAGTGAGTCAAAGCCAGCCCACTTCCTGCCCCCCTGTTCTGACCCCCTTTTCTTTTGATTAGGAACTCAGAGGCCCCGCCCCTGTTGTTCTTAAGACCCATTCCTCAGGCTATACAGACGACTGTAATGCTTCCCCTTCTGCCTTCCCGTCCTTTTGGAGGGACAAAGGGGCCCTGCTCCCAGAAACACTGTCTCCTGGAGTCGGGAGAATTCCTGGAATGGGCAGGGACCTCGCCTGAAAAAGAGAAAGGAGAACTGTAGGCAAAGGCAGAGGGGAACAAGGGGCCAGATCAAAGAGAGCCTGGCCAGGGTCAGGAGAAGGGAGTGCCGGCAGGGAGACAAATGGGGCCCCCCCGAGGGGTCAGCGGAGGGACAGGCGTGCCTACACTCAAATGCACAGTGACAGCGCAAGAGCTCTTCAGGGAAAGACGGTCATTGCAGAGACAATAGATGGAAAAGATAAGAGAAGGTGTAAATTAATGGAGAAAAGGGCCGGCCGGAGATAAGGGGATCTCCCTCTAATTAAAAACGTACAGCCTCCCCATCTCCAGGGTTGGTGGTGTCCCAGACTGTCCTGTGTCTGAGCTGGGGTGGGAGCTGAGGTAAAGGAGGGCAGAAATCGGGCCAGTTAATGATTAGCTCCTCGCTGAGGGCTTAGAAGCTGACTCAGCTTCATCCACAGACAGGAGGAGTGAACCATCCAAAATTACCAGAGATGAAGTGAGCGACTCACCCAACTCTGGAAGAGCCCGGGGGAACCTCAGACCCCGCACAGGATCTTCACTTCTGAGGCTGGCCAGGACAAGTCTTTCTCTGATACTTCAGGCTTTTGTCATTGTTGGTTGGTTGGTTTCAATTCTGGTTCTAAGATTCTAAGCTCTGCCTCAAATACTGATTGAATTTGAACTTGATCTTGCCGGTTCCACGCCCAAAAGGGGTGCTCGGTGGCAATTTCCGGCAAGATTCATCTGCTTATGGTCAGAGCTAATTAACTAGCAGAATGGGAGAGACGGTAGATTCTAGAGCCAGGCTGCCTGAGGTCACGTCCTGCCTTGTCCACTCACTAGCTGTATGACTTAGTACAAGATCCCTGACCTCTCAGAGGGTCCAGTGTGTGCTGGGCACCGAGTAAGCACTCAACAAATGCTAGCTGCCATCATCAGCATCATTTTAATCAGTACCATCTTTCTCCCCCAACCTGGAAGCAACGCCCTGATATAACTGCAAACCCCACTTCCCGTCTGAGCAGGCCACGGCCCTCCCGCTCCCTCAGCATGGATGCCTGTGGACATATCCTAGCATGGACAGTTCAGAGGATGAGACAAAGAAACCAGGAACTCAGATGTAAGTTGTGGGGGCAGGAGGAGGTGACTACGACACCCAGGAATACTGTCTGTAAATTCCTGCATCTTCCCTCTCTCCTCACATCCAATCCTTCACCAATCCAGTCTAGTGTACCTGCACAATCAACCCTGACTCCGTCCACTTCTCTCCACCTGCACGGCTCCCCTCTCCAGTCAAGGCCACCATCATCCTCCACCTAGACTGCTGCACTAGCCCTCTGACTGTCCCCCCGACTCTGACTCCTACCTGCACCCCCTAACCTGTTTTACACACAGCATGTACAGTGATGTTTTAAAAGCTATGACTACAGAAACCACATCATTCTCCTGCGAGAGCCCCTAGCCCATCCCCACCCACCCTCAATGGCTTCCCACTGCACTCCAGATAAAATCTCAAGTTCTTACTGGCCTAAAAGACCCTGTATGACTGGCCTCTGCCCACCTGTACAATCTCATTCAGCGCCACGCTCCTCCTTGTCTACCAGGCTCCAACTTCACTGGCTTCCTTTCAGCTCTTCAAACACCCTTTCCTCCTCTTCAAAGGCCCAACTCTTTTTCAGGTCTTAGGGTCAATGGCATTTCTTGAGAAAAGCCTTCCCTGGCTACCCTCTCTAAATACCTCCCCAACTCCTCCCTCTGACTCTCTTTCACAGCATCTTGCTCATTTTGTTCACTGTGTTTGATTCTGTAATTAGATATTTCATTTTTCCTTTTTGTTTCAGTCATGGTGCTGTACCTATGTGAAAAAAGAGGCCTTGTGTGAACAATGAAGAAAGGAGGAACGGGAATAATTACATCTCCGGTATTAGAGATCCTGGCAGGAAGGAAGAGAAAGGAAGGAGACAGGGAAATAAAGCCATCAATTTTCAAAATTTTTATTCCAAGATGGCAGCGTAAAGACATTTCCATTCTCTTCTCTTTTCAAAATATATATTTTTTAATCCTAAAACATTGAAAACAAGAAACAAACACAAAATTAGAAATCCAATGCAAGTAAAAGATGTTTAACTTCAAACAAAAATATAAGAAGAACAAAATTGATGGACAAATGGTGAGTGACTCAGCACAAAGGAAGAAGGTCAAACACAAGTATTTTTTAGAGTGTGGCGTATGGGGTAGGCATCAGCAATCCCATTAATTTTGCAAAACCCCAGAAATGTTCAGATATTAGAGGCAGAAGTTGATATAGAGGATAAGGATAAGAGAGTATACTGAAAACAGAGGAATTGCTTGAAAGTCTGTGTCAGAAGCAGTCACTTCCTCACCTCTATACTGCGGTCAGGCAACTACTTCTGACCATCACCATTCCTTGACCCTGCATGTCCCCATAGTGAAACTACAGAGTCAATCTCTAGAGAAGTCAAACAGAGGAGCTTCTATCTAGGAAGTTCTACTTCCAAATACAAGAAATTCCAGAAATATATTAAAAAAGAAATTAGTTGTGTTATGGGCTGAATTGTGGCCCTTCAGAATCAATATGTTGAAATCTCAACTCCCCAGTATTTCAAAATGACGCCATTAGGGTGGGGCTCTAATCCAATATGACTGGTGTTCTTATAAGAAAAAGAGGAGACAGCAAGGACATACATGCACAGAGGAAAGACCATGTGAGGACACTGGGAGAAGGTAGCCATCTGCAAGTCAAAGAGAGAGGCCTCAGAAGAAACCAAATCTATCAATACCTTGATCTCGAACTTCTAGCCCCCAGAACTATGAGAAATACATTTTTATTGTTTAAGCCATCCAGCCTGTGGTATTTTCTTATGGCAGCCCTAACACACTAATACAGGGAGGCAGGTAATTATCCAAAAGAAAAGAACATAAGAAAACTTGAGGGCACCTGGCTGGCTCAGTTGGTAGAGCATACAAATCTTGATCTCGGGGTCATGAATTCAAGCCCACATTGGGTGTAGAGGAAGGAAAGGGTGTATTAGGTGTATTAGAAGGAAATAAGAGGAGCAGAGGGAAGGGAAGGGGAGGGAAGGGGAGGGTAGAGGAAAGGGGGAGGGGAGGGGAGGGGAAAGGAGGGGAGGAGAAACTTGAAGGACAAACTAAGTCTCTGGATCCAAGCACAAAGAATGAAGACAAAGACACAGAGTCACCAAATATCACAAATGAATAGAATATTCTAAAAGCTTCCAGAAAGGAACTATATGTCATATTTAAGGGGTCATATGTGAGAATGGAATCAATTTTTTCAACACCATCATTGGATGCTGGAAGATAATGAGATAACATCCTCAAAATTCTGAGTACAAATTATTTTCTACTTGGAATTTTATACCCAAACAGAAATCAAGTATGAAAGTAGAATAAAGACATATTTTTAGATATTTAAAGAAATTGAAAAAAACTGTACTCCCTAAACACTTTTTCAGGGAGGTACTAGAGAATATGTTCCACAAAAATGAAGTAAGTCTAAAGAGAATAAAACCTGGATCCGGCAAGCAGGGAATCCAGCAGAAAAGAGAAGAAATGAAATTCCTAAGATGACAGCAAAGAGGAGTTACATGACATCAGCTGTATAACCACAGGCCAACCAAGCAACCATTTCAGAGAGGTTGCCTGGCGACCTGTCATTGGCACAAATGTAAGTGCCAATGAGAGGCACTTAAATTTAAAAGTAAAGGAGCTACTGATGGGTGAAGGAAACTTCTCCATTAAAGAAAACTAAGTAGATAAAATAAATCGACCATTATTATCTCCAGGAAAAACAAAATTTAAACAGGAAAGGAAATATGATCAGAGTACAGAATTTGGTTTGGCCATAAATAAGATTTATAAATCTGTAATAATTAAAATTTGATTATGAGTGTAATCAGTATTGGGATATAATTATATTCTCAGAATAATAGAGGGAGAGAGGAATTTAAATGAGCTATTATTCCATAAGAGAAAGCCAGTGGTTTATGTCTAGAATTGATTGATCAAATATACCCATATTATTTTGAAATATGAATATAGGAGGCATCCTTCCATTTGATCACAATTGAATAATAAGTTTTGGACTTACTCTATAAATTTAAGCAGCTATGAAACTAAACAAAATATGTGAAGCAACTCTTTTTAGGCATCATACAAGAGCACAAGGTTGTGGTCATTGAGAGACGGGAAACACACAAAGAGAGCTCCACATCCATCCTAGTTTCCTGCTGGGAGTACCTCCCAAACCAAGGCAAAGGGAGGTAGAGCCAAATAGAAAGGAACAGTGTTCCTGAGTGAAAGAAAAAAAATTGATTTCAGGGCTACAAAGCCTACTCAAATCTGCATGGAAGGGTAATAGAGAGGAGGCAACTATGAAAAGAAGTTTCATAAATCTGCATGGGGGTCTCCCCGAGTCTTCAGCTAAATATTGTCATACATGCAGAGGAGATTCTGTGAAGTATAGCAGACAACATTTCTGGGAATATGTGAGGTGAACAGAGAGATTCTGGAGATTGGACAATGTTGGGAGAATTGGAGTTCTAACAAGCTGGACTGGAGAGGTCTTACTGAATATCCCAAGCATTCAGCTGAGACTACAGAAAGACCACTCTTGGAAAAAATGCGTGCTCTAGCTTAAGGCTTGGTTAGACCTACCCTAACAGAAACTTAAAATAAGCTTTCATATAATGCAACTGATTCCCCAGGAAAGTAACTACGTTCTAGAACAAAATTCAATGCATTTAAAAAGAAAACAACAGGGGCGCCTGGGTGGCGCAGTCGGTTAAGCGTCCGACTTCAGCCAGGTCACGATCTCGCGGTCCGTGAGTTCGAGCCCCGTGTCGGGCACTGGGCTGATGGCTCAGAGCCTGGAGCCTGTTTCCGATTCTGTGTCTCCCTCTCTCTCTGCCCCTCCCCCGTTCATGCTCTGTCTCTCTCTGTCCCAAAAATAAATAAACGTTTGAAAAAAAAAAATTAAAAAAAAAAAAAAAAGAAATAAGGTGGGGAAAAAAAGAAAAAGAAATAAGGTGAGCCAGGAGACAATGAGATGGTATAAACTGCTCTTTATGACAAAACCTAACAACTCAGAATTTTATATCCAGTGAAAATATCCTTGGGGCACTTAGGTAGCTCAGTCAGTTAAGCATCCGACTCTTAATTTCAGCTCAAGTCATGAAATCACTATTTGTGAGTTCAAGCCCTGCATTGGGCTCTTTGCTGATGGTGCAGAGCCTGCTTTTTCAATTCTGTCTCTCTTTCTCTCTGCCCCTTGTGCTCTCTCTCTAAAAAAATAAATAAATAAACTTAAAAAAATATATCCTTTTAAAGGATTGGTAAAATGAAGATATTTTCAGACAAACAAAAGCTGAGAAAATTCATGACTAGCAGATTTATACTACAAGAAATATAAAAAGTTCTTCAGGTTGAAGGGAAATGATATCAGATGAAAACAATCTAGACTGAGGGATGAAGAGCTCTGAAAGTAGTAAATATAAAAGATTTTTATGTATATAAATATAAAATACTTTTTTCTTCATTTTTAAATTTCTTTAAAAGATAATTGGCCATTTAGTGCAAAAATAATGACAATGTCATGTGAATTTACAGCATATATAGAAGTAAAATATATGCCATTATATGCAGCGGATGTATGGTAAATAGCAACTGTATTATGTGGGTGTACCATGATCTATTTAACCAGATCCTTATCAATGGACATCCAGATTTTTTTGAAATTTTGCCATTTTAAATAATCCTACAAAGAATAGCCTCACACATGTGAATGTCCTTATAATTAATATTCTACAATTCTTACATTATACATGAGGTGGTACAATATTAATTAAAGGTACACATAAGTTAATGTTGCATAACAACCCCACTTTAAAAAAATAAAGATATAGCTTAAAAATCCAATGGAGGAGACAAAATGGGATTTTAGAATATATTTTAGTATTCCAGAAGAAGTAAGGAAAGAAAGATAAGAATAACAAAGAGGGGTGCCTCAGTAGTTCAGTTGGTTAAGCATCTGACTCTTGGTTTCATCTCAAGTCATGATCCTGTAGTTGGTGACATTGAGCCCCACATCAGGCTCTGCACTGACAGCACAGAGCCTGTTTAGGATTCTCTCCTTCCCTCTCTCTCTGTCCCTCTTCTGCCTCAAAATAAATAGATAAACTTCAAAAAAAGGAAAAGAAGAATAAAGAATAAATGGGACAATTGGAAACAATAGCAAAATGTTAGGCTTAAACCCAGCCAAATCAATAATTACATTAAATGTAAATAGGCTTAACACTCCAGTTAAAAGGCAGATATTAACAAACTGGATAGAAAAAGCAAGACTAACTGCATGCTGTTTACAAAATAGATATAAAATATAGAAACACAATGCAATTACCAGAAGAAAGAGAATAAAAAGTATAAAGTAGTTGCCTCTGAGAAGGGAGCAAGGAAAAGAAAAACCTACTGGCTTTTAGCATAAACTCTTTTAACACTATTTGTGCACTTAAACAATTTGCTTGTAATGCCTTGAAAAATAGTTTTAGAAACTGAAGGAATTGTTCTGAAAGCACTTTACAAGTTGGATCTTATCCTTTATGATTTTGGAGTGCATTTTGAAATTGCAGTGAGGTACAAAAACAGAGGAATAAAACCATTCTACCCAGAAAGGCAGATGAATCATGATTATGATGTTATTTGTTCATATTTCTAGGCAGAGAGGTGGAAGTACACCCTAACATAATGAGTTCACCAGAAGCACATAACCCCCAAAACAGAAACCAGGAGTGTTCTTCTCCAGTTCCTCATGCCAGCTGGAATCCAATGGGGTCCAGACTGTAATCATAGGTGTTCATACTTAAGCCTAGCTACTCTAGTGGTGGTCAAGTCTTACAGACATTAGAGTATAGTTTTTGAATATCCATTACATGCAAGATCCTGGTCTAGGCATTACATAAGGGACACAAAATATGAGACATAGTCCTACTCTTTTCTCTTAGTGATGGAGCACAAAAATTCCTTTGCCAGTCATTAGATGATGCAGTAGATTGTTATATTAATGGCCCCCAAAGAATCATGCATCCCTGTGTCTGTATCTTTGTATGAGCTCCTTCTACATTGACTCTGTGCTTGGATATGTAGTTTGCTTTGGCCAGTGGGACATTGGCAAACATAATATAAACAGAGGACTGAAAGGTACTCGTGCATTGAGACTTACACTCTTTCTTGCTGCTTTTGGAACACAGTAACTTATGAAGAAGCTCAAGATAGCCTGCCGGGGATACACAATCCAATCATCAATGAGCACTAACCATCAGACATAAGACTGAGGTTATTTTAACAACCTAGCTCCAGCCAAGCTGGTGAGTCAGCCTAGGTGAGACCAGCCACAGAACTGTCACACTGGACCTAGCAAAACTTGCTGATGCACAGAATCATGAGTAAATAAAATGGTGCCTGTGTTATATGAATAAATTTGGCAGGTTGGTGATGCCACAACAGTTAACTGATACAACTGTGATTGATGATCTTACTGTCACAGGAACAGAATAGCAGGCCTTGAAGCCCCATCTTTTCTCTTAAAAGATTCTAATTTCATATAAACTGAGCCATATGTGATTTCCGAAGGAGTTTGAAATCCAGGCTATTTTTCTTCAACACCTAACATGACCTGAATAGTAGGATTCAGTCCCAGACTTTTAAATCTCTATTTTAAAATTTAATTTAATTTTTGAATGGTAATGCATGAACATGTTGATAAATCTAGCAATTCTACTTTGAAGTTCAATCAGAGAAACAGAATCATTAGGATACACACACACACACACACACACACACACACACACACAGAGAGAGAGAGAGAGAGAGAGAGAGAGAGAGAGAGAGAGAGATTTGTTACATCTAATTGCAGGAGCTAGTTAAGTAATCTCTGTAGGCTATTGTCTTCACATCAGTTGCTACAGTTTGAAGTCCACAGGAAGATGGAGGTAAAGTGGGGAGAGCAAGGACAAGCATGAACCCACAAGGTTGTGCCAAAATCCATGAGGAGTAAGGGGTACCAGGGTGGCTCAGGTGGTTAAGTGTCCAACTCTTGGTTTCAACTCAGGGCATGATCTCACTGTTTGTGGGTTTAAGCCCCATGTCAGGCTCTGTGCTGTCAGTGCAGAGCCTGCTTGGCATTCTCTCTCTCCCTCTCTCTCTGTCCCTTCCCTGCTCTGTGTCTCAAAATAAATAAAGATTTACAAAATAAAAAGTACTTTAAAAAATTTAAAAAAAATAAATTAAGGAAAAAAAACAACCCATGAGGATGTACTGAAATATGTATCAATTCTCACTGCCTCTGATGTTGATGTCCTGCAGGAGAGGCCAGTGCCCTCATCATACAACTAAACACAGAATTCAGAATTGGCCCAGAAGTCAGAAATGCTGAAAAAGGATCCACAGGAAGGGGAGCCATTGTGGACCTCACTGCGACTTCACTCTAACAAGGGCGGCCACAGAGAAGCAACAACATACTGAGATACAAAATAGCTTCTACTTCACTTACACCATCCAAAGTTCACACGGTAATCTCTTTCAGGGCCTCCTCATACTGGAACATACAAGAAAGAAAATTCTGGCAGATACAGTTCAGCCTAGCCGTGCTGACACATAACAAAGCCGCCACCCATACAAAAAATTCACACTGAAAAATGTCCCCCTACTCCCCTTCTCTCTCAGTTCCCCTCCCCACCAAACAACCAGTTATCAGTCTCAGTTTCTTGTGTTTCCTTCCTGAAATATTCTATGTACATGTAAATATACACATATATCTAGTACTTGGTGCATTTTACACAAAAGATCATATACTATACACATTGATCAACACCTTCCTTTTTTTTTTTAACTAAATGAGATACCTTGGAAATTTTTCCATAGCAACATAGGAATATTTGCCCTTTTTTCCTTTAGCAACTGCATACTGTACTGTGAGGGTATAGCATGATCTGTTTAACTAGACCCTTATCAATGAACATCCAGATTTTGTTGAAATTTGCTATTTTAAATAATCCTACAAAGAATAACCTCACAGATGTGTAAGTGTCCTTATAATTAATGTTCCTTGTCAACCTGGTGTGGTACCAACCCAAGCAGGCCAGAATGAGAGACTAATGGGGCCAAACAGCACATATGGGCTGCAGCTACAATGAAGTGCCTTTCCCATACTCAGCCCACTTTAAGGTCCATCATTTGTAAATTCACTTTACACCTTCTGTGCATTTCTGACTTTTTCTGTCTCTGTCCTTGCAAGATCCTCTGTCCTCTGCAAGATCCACCTTGGGCTACTGCTGAGATCATTGTGTGAAGATCCTATAATCTAACCAGCAACTTAATATTGATGGGGTCACCCTCTAAAATGCTCATCAGTGGGGCACCTGGGTATCTCAGTCAGTTAAGTGTCTGACTCTTGGTTTCTGCTTTGTCATGGTCTCACAGTTCGCGTGTTTAAGCCCCAAGTCAGGCTTGCATGAGTCTGCTTAGGATTCTCTCTCTGCCTCCTCCCCCCCTCCTCTGCTCACTCGCACTCTCTCAAACGTGCACGCTCTGTCTCAAAAATTAAAAAATGAAATAAAAACTTAAAAAATAAAATAAGATGCGCATCAGTGAAAATACTCTTAATGATATAGATAAAATTATCAAAAACAAAGTAACATGGAAATCTACTGACAGATAAAACAAGTGGTTGACAAAGCTGCAAAATCATTTATTGTTCCACCATCTTAATGTTCCATTTTCCAATGGCAGAAATTGCAACCGTCAGGCTGCATAGAGCAAAGAAACGTGAGACCCACAAAGAAAGAAATTGCCCAGTTTCTTTTCCTAAGAACACTTTCATTGATTTTTTTCCATTATTGAGTGTTTGCTTAAAGGCCCTTTCACCCTTCATCCCCAAGGGTTTTATAAATATCACATTTGCTTCATTCATACTTTAAAGATCTGGCTTCTCTAGAAAGGAAATATTTTTCTTTTAGGAGTCATTGTTTTAAAACATAAGCATAGACTGTCTTGACTCATAGCATAATGGAGTGGAGGGGATAAGACATGTACACAAAAGAAGAAAACTGGGCCGCTTGTAATAGTACATCTCAAAGCAGTTTGTTATGTTGTCCTAACAAAATCCCTCAAAGAGGGCACCTGGTTAGCTCAGTCAGTTACACTCTAACTTCCGCTCAAGTCATGATCTCACGGTTGGTGAGTTCGAGTCCTACATTGGGTGAGCACGAGACCCACTTTGGGTGAACACAAGCCCCGCCTCAGGTGAGCCCTGCTTCTCTCTCTCTCTCTCTCTCTCTTTCCCTCTTCTCTCTCTGCCCCTCACTCACTTGTGCCCTCTCTCCCTCTCTCCTTCAAAAAAAAAGAAAATCCCTCAAAGAGCAGTGAGAAAATGATGAGGGCAACCTATCTGTCCTGGAGCTTCCACCTGACCTCTTTCAGCCTTTTCTGATTCCTTCCATCCCCAACAGGCTGTGGCTTTAGGAGGCATTTACTGGACAGCATGGTAGAAGATCCAGATTGCAGAGTCAAGATTTTTAGCCAGAAAGGAGAGCAGTCTCAAGAAATAGTGTGAAGTCCTTTGAGCCAGAACAAAATATAGTTGCATGAAAATAGGGAGAACTGGGTTGAAGTTGGATTGGAGAATCCCTGAAATGCCAGGTTTGCAAAAAGAGTGTAGTTATCTGTGCAAACATAGGCCCCAAAAGTGGCTCAATGGGAAAATGCCTGATTAGGAAATATTAAGAACCATTTTATAAATGGATACACTCAAATCTGGATGAGGAATATTAGAACTGGTTCTTGAGAGTGGCGGGTTTCCAGGTCTGTGCTGAAGTGATCTAGTGAGCAGAGCTACTTAACAGAGCTCAAAAGATTTACAAACACATTTGGGGCTCAGCAGAGCCAAAAACCAGCGATGCTCCCCAGTCCCAGGCTTGGGCTCCTTCATGGAAAGACTGCAACAAAACTGAACCCTTGGCTCCTGGCCATGTAATGAATCAACTAGAGTGAGAAAGCCTCATGAGCTGATTCCAAACAAGCTCCCCCTGGGGCCTCTAGACTGGCTCCTAATTAATAGGCTCTTGGCCCACAAGCAAGAGTAAAAATGTTTGCAACAATAAAAGGAAGACAGCACTCACAATGGGGGAGGGGCTAACAAAGAAAGCAGAGGGGAAAATTACGATGGGAAGATGGATCCAGGTCTAAAGTTAGCTGGCTGAGCGATAACTCAAACCTTTATTTATTTGTTCAAGTCAGATGTGAATAACTACATAAATTTGATTCCTAGTTTGGAAATTCAGTCTACACAGCAGAATATGAGAAAACAACAATGTTGATAGGATTCAAAAATACAGACAAATCTCCATCAATTAATATTTTGGGAGTCTCATCTTAATGCATTCCTGGTGTAGGGACTGGGAGAGTCCACACAGAGGAAGGGGACACATGGTTGAGATTGAGAAGTGAGAAGTCCTGCCCTGGAAAGATGGCTTCTGAGCCCTAGAACTCTAAGATTTCCAAAGTTCGGAAGTCTTCTCTTTGCTTTTAGAGATGCAAGACAACAGACCAAAGAAGGCTTGGAGCTGTTGTCCAAAGTGCTGGCAGATTAGAAGTGAGGAAGCCAAGAGCAAGGAAGACAAGAGACTAATTTAGAATAATCAGGAATAAGACTTCAGAAAGTTTAGACTCTTCCATTTGTTTTTCCATTTGATGTGTTTTCCTGTTGCCCATCTTTTAGCATAAATTTTAGCTTCTCCAGCCTGATAACGCCCCTCATGTTCCAGAAAAAGTTGTAATAAGGAACGTTAGTCTTCAGAGACAGCAGTACAGTCAGTACAGACAGCAGCTCAGACTTCTGTCAACAATTGGCTGGTGTTCTTAAAATGTTTAAGTTGGGTTTTTGGAATCTATAACACTTCTTGTAATAGAAATAGTGTTACAAATGGAAATTAGGTCCTTGCACTAGATCATAAAGCTTATTTAATAAAGTTCCTAAATATCATGTGCTCATTTGCAGTGAAAAATATATAATATTGGAAATGACTTTTTGGCAAATGATAATGTTTTAACTATAGGTTACACTTGAAGTAAAATTACAAAGGCTACCCTGGGAAATTAACTTGTAAAAGTGTTTTTGAGGCAAAAGGTGTTCTGAATTCCATCTTACAACTTGGAACTTGGGAGAAAGTTACACACACACACACACACACACACACACACACACATATACACACACCATGTGTGGCAGCAGAACATACCCACTCAGAGAATACTTCTTGTTCTGGGTGATTCCAGTAAGAAAAAAAAGCTGGTGGTTCTCATTTGTAGGATATTTCCATGTCAGGGTTTTTCAATTAAAAAAAAAAAAAGCTTATTTAATTTTTTAATTGGTAACATTCATATCTTTTTTACATTTGCTCCTAAATTCTATACCAGTGGCATGTCAGTTAGGCTGACCCTTCTATCAGGAAAGATGCTGGGAACCGTGCCTCTCAAGAGCTAGGTCCTGTTCCCCATTGAGTTCCTTACCAGCTGTGTGACTTTGAACGGGCACCCTCACTTCCCTGGGCCTTAATTCATTTAAATTAAAAATGAAGAGAGCAACATCTGGTATCTCGTGCCTGTAGAGCTGCAGTGAGCACCAAATGAAATAACAATACTACCTTCTTTTTGTGTAATACTTTGACTTTTTTAACATGTTCACATGTTTTATTCTCGGGCTAACTCTGGAGAAAAAAATAACTCTTTAGATTTTAACATCCTCCATGAGGCCAAAATAGGAAAAAAATATGGAATAGTCCCAGGGCACTTGGTAACTCACACAGCCAACCACCACACCTCTGCCTTTTCCCACCGTTTATGCCCTAATATAAGCTGGTATCAAGAAAAACACTATTTTTTGTTTCTTCTTCACTCCTAGTGAACATTCATAAAGGTTCTCCAATTTTTTATTGTGGGGAGCATTATGTAGCATATTATTCTCATTCAAGCACCTTTACAAATAAGTTTCCCTACATCTCCAGCAACACTCACAGGTTCTAACCCAGTTATACCCATCCAGGTATTATATGTGTTTAATGCATTCCTGTCGAAGAGCCCCTCTCCCTTTTGCCTGGTGACAACATACAGGATTGCCCTAATATCCATGATACGTTAATTTCTTGCCTGAGTTTCTTTGTGGCCACTCTCAACTCACACTTCGATGGAGACGCACCAACTGCACAAAGAAGCCATGACTCAAACAGCGGTCAGTGAGACTAAATTCAACAGTGTAGCCACTTAGTTAATCATAAATCATCTTTATTTTCTCCTACTTCTTAGAACCAGAGTTCGCCCTTCCAAAGAAAGTCCACGTCCTTCCTTTGAGTAATGGGTTTGACAACCTCAACTCAAACACAAGCCTGCCCGGTGCACAGACTTATCAGAGCTGCTCGGAATGGACAAGGGAAGGTGCAGAGGGAGAGAACAATGGTGCCCTGACTGGAGAGGCAGGCGTTATCAGCCTGCCATCGGAACAGAGCCCGCACTTGTTTTTCTTTCTGTTGAGTGTGCGAGCTGGTTCTAGTGTACGGTACCAGGCAGTGTAAAAGGCTGCTGCTGGGCCTCTCTGTTTGTGAGAGCTGTTGACATAAGGTGGGGTCCAAGTGATATAGGTTAATTCCTGCCCTATTTTTCTGATAGCCATAAATGAAAGAAACCCTCTTGGGCAGGCCCCTGTGCCCAGAGCTCGGGAGTTCCGTGTCTTTGGAGATGTTGTACGTCCTAAGAAGAACGGTGGAATAATGTGCAAGGCCACCGGAGAGAGCACATTACAAAGAAAAGTTGCTTTCGTGAAGCATCACATACAACTGGTATCAAGGAGAAAAGGAAATAAGAACTTAAGAATGACTACAGAACTTGAACCTATGGCCCTCCAGCCAAACCATCTTCCAGTCATGAGCCCTACCAGACAGACTAAGGAAGGGCCTGACACCCACTCTTGACCTTAGCTTTAAGGCCAGAGTATGGCTTAAAATACTCCCCATTCCCCATAGTAATTCACATGACTGGTGGATTTGGGATGGATCCTCCTAGAAGTTATTTGGATTTTTCTGCGTTTAGCCTCTCTGGGAGTAATAAATAATCCAGCTCAATTAAAGATGCTTTACAGCCCACTTCACCCAGTTCAGGGCCCTTTGGCATATATCTTAGTAACTAACCTTATTCTTAGCCTAAACTTCTTTTTCCTACCTCAAAAATCTATTCTCTTACAGTTCAGTTGTGTATTTGTCAGCTACCTGAAATTCTGATTGGAAAGTGGTGAACCATAAGTCAAAAATATAATACTTCTAGAAAGGAGCTCTAGTGCCCTTCCAGGATGGGATTTCAGACCTTTTTTTTTTCTTTACCAAGTTCTTTTTTTAACGTTTACTTATTTTTGAGAGAGACAGAGCATGCATGGGGGAGGGGCAGGGAGGGAGGGAGACACAGAATCCAAAGTAGGCTCCAGGCTCTGAGCTGTCAGCACAGAGCCCTATGTGGGGCTTGAACCCATGAACCTCCAGATCATGAACTGAGCCGAAGTAGGACTTAACCAACTGAGCCACCCAGGCACCCCCTGGATTTCAAGCAACCTTAGGGAACTTTTTTTCCAAACTGAAGACATGATGGAGGGGCTTGGAAGTGGAACTAGGTTTTAGTGACTTTGGGAGCTTGGGAGGGGTCTAATTTCCTTGAGGTACAAATACACATCCTAATTCCAGCTCTTTTCTGAGCTAGCTTGGGCTTTGGTCTCAGGCTGAAATCCCAGCTCCTTCACTTACAAACTTGTTGGACAAGCACTGAAGCTCTCTGAGCCTTAGTTGTGCCCTTGTGCACATGTAGTTCATATCCACAAAGATCCATGCACATTAATGAGTTCATGCCTGTGACTGCCCTGGCCCAGCACACAGTGTGTCAGCGGGTGTTCCTCTCCTGCTTCCTTTCTTCTGTCTTCAAACTACTCTCTTCGTCATCCCACAGCAATGCTTTCTTTAAAATTTGGGTATCCCCCGCTTTTGGAAAGTTCATGTTATGTCACTTTGCTTTTATGAAAGACCTACATTAGTATTGCTTCTGCTAACCAAAAGAAATCCAGAGGATTTTCACTTTTACAAAAAAAGGCAAAAGCAAAAATAGCGTTCAGAGTTTATTTTGCAGGAAGCCGTTATAAGGCAGCGTGCACCCCAAACCTTGAGCAGCAGCGAGAGCAGCCCCGCCAGGCTCCTCCCAGACCACACTCAACATCTCAGCATCAGGCTGCCGTGGCTTTGAACTGTCTGTGACCACCCGTGTTTCATCTTTTATTTAGTGCCTCCATTAGCAAG